CATAGCTAACTGGATTGAGTGCCAAGCTGCAAACCAAAGTGTCACCGGTTCGACTCCCAGTCTAGGGCACATGCCTGGGTTGTGAGCCAGGTCCCCAGTAAGGGGTGTGCGAGAGGCAACCACACATTGGTGTTTTTCTCCCTCTCTTTCTCCCTCCCTTCCTCTCTCTAAAAATAAGTAAATAAAAAAAGTTTAAAAAACAAAACTTCCATATATAAAACATCAAATCATTACATTGTACACCTGAAATAAATATGTCAATTATATCTCAATTTAAAAAAAAAGGGGGGGAAAGCAATTTCCCAAAGAATGGGTGGGGTAGTAAGTTAAAGTTATCAAAAGCAAATGCAGGAGAGATGACAAAGAAAATAATAATAACATATTTACTTCCAAAAAAATTCAATGAAGATAAAGGCTCATAGCACTAATATACCACACCTCCTTCCAGAAAAAGGACAAGGAGAAATGCTCTTCAACCAATGAAAAACATAAATAAGCAATCAGAAAAATTAATGCCAAAGATATTAACAAGCAATTCATAAAAGAAATACTACATAAATCTGTGGGAAGATATTAAAACTCATAGGGTTCTGTAAGGATAAATGAGATCATGTAACTAACACATGTACACAAAAATAAAGCTATTAAAATATAATAATTAAAGAAATGCTCATTTAAATAACAGAATAAAAGGGTGGGCAAAAGTAGATTTACAGTTGTGAATATACAAAAGTTTATTCTTATATTATTACTTATTATTGTATTACTTTCTACACAACAACAGTAAACCTACTTCTGCCCACCCCTGTATGTGTATGTATATGGATATGTAGGTAAAACACATACATAAAACATGTATGCATAAAATCCGACTGGAAAACCCTGAGACAAGTTATGGAGCCCAAAACTGACAGAAAGTGGAGATAAGGTCCTGTCATACTTTGGTAGCAATGTCATAGGCATCTCCTTTTTAGGAAACACTTTGCTAATATTTTCTAAAGCTAAAGTAATTATATAATAATGATAATAATAAAAACATACTTCCTTTGATTTATATTAATGCTCAAAATTTATCCTACAGAAGTTATATATGAATATTCATTGCAACAATGTAATAGAGAAAAACTGGAAAGAGTCTAAAAGTCTACCAAGGGGGGGTTAGTTAAACATAACTAAACATTATTATGCAAAATGTGGTAGATGTGTGTATGCTGACATGGACAACTAGGACAAATAGTATTAAGTTGCAAAATTTTCTAAATTTAAAAAAAGGATTAAACTGGGTTAGGACTATTTAATCTGAGTTCTTTTTATACTTCAAGGGAACCAAACGTGCATGCAAAACTGTGTTTATGTATGTAACTGTAGAGTCCATAGCTTTTCCCAAATCTTAAAGAAATATGTGACTGAACAATCACTAAAAAGTTCCCCACCACACCCACTCTGAATACCTGAGAAACACAGTGAGGTTATATTCAAGGGAGGAAGTCTTTGGCAGGGGAAGAAATGCTCTCAATTAAACTTTGAAGGAAAAACTAAATGTCATTATCACAAAATACATTTTTTATTTCAAGACTCCTAAGTCTAAAGGTGTGAAGGAAGTTAATCTTCAGATGAACTCTTATTCACTATGTAATTACAAACCTCAATGAAAAATTACAGAGCAAAAACAGACTTCAAAATGTGTGACTAGTTCATACTGAAATTACAGTTAAAGGAAGATCATACGGAAGCAAAAGGAGGCAAAGACTATGCAGTAGTTCCACTTGACACAATCAAACAGCTATCATGGATTGTAGTCAGTACTCATCCATGCAAAAGTTCAGAAGCTATGCAGTCTTAACTGATTTTTTTTTTTTTTAAGACAAGCAGATTAAAATTAGAAAGAAATAAGTTAGGTCTTATACATAGTTTTGTGAACTCTCTTTAAGCAAAAACAAAAGAAATCTTTTTCTGGAGGCAGATGGGGGGTGGTCCAATACTTTTTGAACTAATCTATTATAAATTAATATTTTAAACATTACAGCCATTAAAATTAACGGGATTTAATGAAGATTGGAATAAATGAGTAGTTAATAGCAGGGATACTCTCTATCTTAAGGGGGAAGTAATTTTGCCTCTTAAGGAGCATTTGGCAACATCTGAATACATTTTTGATTGCTAGGACTGGGCAGGTGCTGTTGGTATATTGTGGGTAGAAGCCATGGGTGGGGTTAAAAATCATATAGCCCCATCCATCTACCCACCCAAAATGTCAACAGTGCCAAAGCTAAAAAACCCTGCCTTAGAAGCAGGGTAGGGAACCAGTGAATCTCTGTTGTGAGATAATCAACTTTGGTAGAAATCCTAAATCAATAGGGTTTGTTTGTTTGTTTGTTTGTTTAGAAATATTGACACCTTATTAAGTAGCACTTATTAAAGTGAAATGATTTTTAAAAAGTGTTATTTGAAAGAAAATTAATTGGATTTCCGATTTATCTAAACCTGTGAAACGCTGCAAAAGCCATAGGCAAAAATAATAATAATAATAATAAATTAATGCTAACAAAAAAATTTTATAAACACACATACCCTATGACTCTACAAACAATACTGAGCAAAAGAAACCAGTCACAATCATACATTTTGCATCATTCTACTTAAACACAGTTCAAGAACAGGTAAAAACTGATCACTTATGTTAGAAACCAGAACAGTGATTCTTTCAGAGAAAAAAAGAGAGGGAGAGATCAGAGACAACATAGGGGTACTTCTGGGATGCTAATAATTTTGTATTTCTTAATCTAAGTAGTAATTATATAACTGTGTTCACTTGGTGACAGTTCATCAGGCTGGGTACTACAATTCATCAAGCTGTGTACTAATAATCAGTGCAGTTTACTGTACACAGATAACACTTTTACAAAAATGTTTATTTTTTAATGTTATATATTTATACCCTAAAAACTTGAGCATTTAGACACAGAAAGCTAAATTAGTATCCACTGCAAAAGTGAAAGTGTTTTGTTATACTATAGGCTGCCTTCCAAGAATTCAAGGATGACACCCCCAGAAAGCCGTAAATACCCTACTCAGCACTCATGCAGGATTCATGTACACTTAAGTCACTATATATACCTCGTCACAAATCCCAAAATTTGACAAACACTTATAAATGCAGTTAAATTTATTCCATGGACAGTATGTTTGGATTATTTCCTCCAATGTTCAACTATGAACTGTAATCAGAGAACAGGCTCTATGAAACAAATGATGCTTTCTTTCCTAATCCCACATTTTCCCAAAACTCACCCAAACTAAACCCCTCTAGGCCCTCAACTCCCTAGGATTTCTCCAGGCTGCTTATAACAGTACCCACTATTGCCCCTTCCAGTAACCACTCTCGCAATTCACCTCCCCCAACACGCGCAGAAATAATCTACGTTAATGCTCATTCCAGAGGTTAGTCTCCCCTCTCCCCAAGACTTTTACTCTCTCCCAACACCTCCTAAATACAATCCAAACCTCATTCCCCACAAGCTCCTAATATTCTCCACAAATTCGCTTCTCACAGCACCACAAAACCAGGGCACAGGCTATCTCAGTCTTTTAAATCCTCTACACACACACACACACACACACACACACACACGCACACACACACACCACCCACCCACCCACCCCGCTGCTTCTGCAAACAACTGAGTTCACTGGTCACCCCTGTATTATCTCCACTCCCCTCTTGCCCTTAGCAACCCCCCAGACACACTCTTTCCTGTATTGAAATTCATCCCATCTCCCATCTACCTTTTGCCTGCAACGTCTGCTTTCGTCTTTATGAAACTTTTCCTTGTACTCGGTACTATGATAAATCCAAAGTCAGAGAAAGGGTACGAAAGTACATGCTCTGTCCTGCGTGCAGGTAGTTGCTCAAATCTCAAGCCTCAAGCATACAACCAGGTGCATGGGCTACAGAGTCAGATGCTGGATTCTGAAACCCATCTCCACCACTTAATAACTGCAAGGTTTTGAATTAGTTATTTTGCATCTTGAAGCCTCAGTTTCCCGAAGTATAATATGGGGTTAATAAAAATAGTTATCTCATAAGAGTTGTGAGGAATGGAGAAGATGAAATGTTCTTTCTTTAAGTCTCTTTAATGCTAACTTTCCTGCAAAGTCTCCTCTTGGGGGATAGAAGTAGGGCAGGAGAAAGAAGGAGGGAAGAACTCCACAAATATGTGTGTGATACAAAGGATTTTGTCACATGCCCAAACTCAGTGTTCTTCTTTATTATCCCTCTATAAGGTGGATCCAAGAAGTCATCAGGCTCTTGCATAAAGGATGGGGACATGGATATACATATATATCAAATCCTCCTTCCACATATACTCGTTTAAAGAAATGAAGTAGGAAAGAGCCCCTTAAATCGCTGAAATGCGTTCCTTGAGGGTCTGAGATTAGGAAGGAAAATCCAAAATCCTAGAGGATTTCTCTTGAGAAGTCGAGAGGAGCAGTTCATAATTAGAAGAAATCAAAAGTAAAAGCTAGAAACCTTAAAGACTCCTGGCTTCTTCCGTAGGAAAAGTAGCAAATGGATTCTCAGCAAGTGGGCTGAGAAAGAAAAAGCTGTCCCTGTCTCTCGTCTCTCGTGGGGCACCAGGGCTTCCCCCGGTCCCTCCGGGGGAGGGATAAGGGGGAGGGTCTCCGCAAGGGAATCCCCAGCTGCCCATCCGTGGGGGAGAGGCAGCATCAGGCCGGACCCCCAGGGAGTTTCACTGGGTCTCTTCACAGCTCAACACCAGTAATGGGATTTCTTCTCGGACTCCGGGATCTCCCAGAGGTTCGGCCATCACTGGATCCCTCCCCTTACAAAACCTGCGGACTGCCCTCGTCAGTCCTCCGAGTTCTCCTGGACACTTCTCGGGGTCTCCCGCTGGCACGAGGACAGCCCGCCGCCCACGGGATCCCCTTAAAGGACTTCCTCCCGACCCCTTCCGAGCGCCGCGAGCCTGTGAGGTTACCTGCTGAGACGGCAGCTCCACATGCAGGGCCCGTGCTGTAGATCCAGGAGGCAGCGCGGCGGACGGGCCTGGGGGCGGCGGGGGAATCGGGCCCCCGATCGGCACCAAGGAGCTCATCTTGACCCAGGGGCCGCCAAGCGGCGGGACCGACGCTCCTCCGGCATCCGCAACTACTGCTCAGCCAAGACCCGCAGATCCCCTGCAGCCCAAACACCCGCCACCCAAGGGGCAGGACTGCTCTACCGCACCTCCAGGCGCCGCCGCTGCCGCCGCCGCCGCCGCCGCCGCCGCGGGCTAAGGAAGAGCCATATTACCGCAGTGCAACCCCCCCAACACCCCCCGAGACCTGGCTTGCTCATTGGTTCAGCTCCTAGAGGGGCGGGACACAACCACAGATAGAAGAAGCACTATTCGGTAGAAGGTCTGTCCGTCGCCAACCGAATGGAATGGGGGCGGAGGGACCCTAGGATGGCTTGAATTGCGTCTGTCAAACCCGGGTGAAACCTGGGGCGTTGCTTCCTTTTTTCCAAGTCTAATTGGTTTTTTCACTATCATAGGGCGGGGTCTCCTGGGGAGCCGCAAAGGCCATTGCTCTACATCGCTGTCAGTTGTCAGTAAAGGGAAACAAGGGCGGGGTCCGATTAGGTAGTGAGTGCGCCCGGGCTCGGTTGTCACGTGTGGGAGGCAAGCGAGTCACCTGATTAGTAAGAGACAGCCTTCTGAGCCACTTCCGCCCTAACCTAGTTGCCATAGTAACCGGAGGAGAGGGCGGGGACCCTCGGTGCCGGCTGAATCGCGACGACTAGTCTGCAGTCGGAGGCTTCCTAAACACTGTTCCTGAAATGCAGCCGTCAACGTGCAGGGATTGAAAGGAAATACTTCATGGTTTGGCAGAAAGGCACCACGCAGGATGCAACAAGACCCAAAGCCTGTCAGGCTCCCACTGGCTCTTCTATAACAACTCTAACCCAGAAGTCCATTCCCCTCCTCGCACTCCACTAACTACTTGCTGACCTGCAAGGCTTACGACGCACCCAGGACCCTGTTTCATCTCCGCGAGGGGGTCTTATGCTATCCCTAGAAAGCCTTTGCTACTTTTCTCCTAATGCTTACCCGTCAAATCTCATCTGGTGCTGGGATCCCTTCTTCCAAAAGGCTTCTCTGATTCATTATGGCATCTTGATTAGGAATCTTGCCTACAGAATATTCTTGATTATTCGATTGCTTCGTCTCTTAACGTGTGCAATACACACATGTAGACACGCACACATGTATACTGAATTCCTCAAGAAAGAGTACCTTGTCATTCATCTCTGGATTCCCAGCATCTGACAGATAATCTTTATGTCTTTGTTTTTGAAATGAAGGCCCCCTCAAATGCCACCTCTTCCATGAAGACTTCCTTGATCACAATAATAGCGTCTATAGCAATTGCATCTGTAATAAACAGCATTGAGTCATTCTACAGGATATTGATCTGCCTTTACCCCTCACCCTGGCCATTCATTCCTCCACTGTTAGTATGGACTCATTTGGGCAGAGTGGGAGGGAAGCATCATTTAATCCACTGTACAAATTTTAAAATTGGGCCTGTAGAGACAGAACCCAGAATCACTTCTTCTTTTTTGGAGTCAGCTCTGAATATTAGTTAACTCTATTACTCATGCATTCAACAAATGTTCATTGAGGGCTTCCCTGTGTCAAACCCTTTGCTAGGTACTGGGAATTTAAATTTGAACTTCTCCCCAGAGGAGCTACCCTCCTTATTGGGGAGTCCAGTAGTGAACAAAGAGCGATAGTTCAGTTAGTTACTGGATCTAAGGAAAGTCCAGGGGCTGTGGGAGCCAGAGAAAGTAGATTTCACAGTAAAGAGGACATTTAAACCGGGTATTGAAGGACTAATGAGAATTCACCAGGCAGATAGGTAGAAAAGGACATTCCAGCAGAGAGAACAGGATCCGTTTTTCCACAATCCTTTACTGCGGTTCAGCTCTGCAGCAGGTTGATTATTGAGCACTGGAGATACAGGCCTCACATAAACAACCCTTTTCAAACTTTTCCACTCACGTGCCACAAACACTACGAGAGCTAGAACTCTCACCGCTAGGGACATGGCAGAGAACATTGGCCAGCTATTGGCAAAATATTCAAGGTAATACATATAAAAGGTTTAGCACAGTGCCTTGGATATAGTGTTCAATAAAGGCTATCTATCATGTCTATATGTCCTATTTCATTCCGAAAATTCTTGTATTATTTTAGATCCTAGTCCATAATAAGGCTGTATTTGTTTCAACATAAAAAAATTTTCATCATTTAGGATTAAGTTATTATAATATTTATACAGTGCTATATATCACAGACAGAAAAATTTATCTGTGTTTAAGGAGCATGGATTCTGAGGTGGCCAATTACAATATATATCCAGCAATAGAAGGATCAAAGGATAAGGGGTAACAAAGCGACCCACACCACTCGGGCTCGTGGGCAAGGTCAAAGCAGGCTTCCCAAATGCCTTGAAGGATGATTAGGGGTTTGAAAGATTAAACAGTGGGAGGTTAGATCAGGGATGGCTGGCATTTCAACAGCTACCTATATTACCATATTGGGTACTGAAATCATTCTTATGCAGGGCCCGAAAACTAAACCTACCCCAATCCATTTTGCTTCCTTTTCTTCCTTGTGAATAAGATAGGGGCAAGATAGGGCTGATCGGTCTTTTAATGTCTCAAACTTAATTAAATTAATATCTATCTCCTTTCTTTCAACTGAGACCTCTTTCTTCCACTCACTTACTCATTTATTCAAACATCCATCAAACCTTTACCAGGTACCTAGCCTGGGCACTACATTTACACATGCATATAGAGGCCCTGCCTTTAAGATGTTGGCAGATAATTTCAGTACACAGAGGTAAGTACAATCATTAAAACGATATATGAAGTATAATAGAAGCACAGAAAAGGAAATTGCTAACTGCAGAAGGCTTTCTAGAGGAAAAGAATTATTCTTGGCAGGAGGAACAGTGTGAGCAAAGGCCCTGAGGCAGAAGCCATAGCATTTGCCTCCTTCAACATGGTTGAAACCATAGTTGCAAGGGGAGCACCAGCAAAGAGGCTGGAAGAGGAAGACGGGGCCTGGTGAGAGGAATCCTACAACCAGGCTAAAGAACTTGGGCTTAATCTTAGGCAACAGGAAGTCATTTACAAAGATCCTCAAGCAGCCCTGGAGAGGCAGCTTTGAAGGGACAGGACCAGAAAAGCAAGACTCTTGCAGAGAGCCAGGTGAAAATTATAAAACAAAGAGGACAGCCCCAAAGAGCCTGCACACACCCAATGAACCTGAAAGGCAGGTCTCTGGGCAGCATTTCTCCTTCTCTTTTCTCAACCCTTCAAGTTCACTTAAAAAAAAAAAAGCCACCCTAAATCTGAGCTAATTGCCACCTCCTCTGGGCTCCTACAGCAGCTGCCTGCCCTCTTGTTAGGACATGGGTCAGTGTGCCTAGTTTTATATACTAAGTGATATCTATTTGTCTTGCCCACCCTACCACGAACCCCTGCTTTTGATTTTGTTCTGATTCCCTGGCATCCTGACCCAGAGGACAGGTTTGATTAGCTTCAGTGAGAAATGACTGACTGAATGAATGGATGCAACCAGTGAATGAATGGATGAATGTCTGAGGAAGCGAATGTCTGATGACACTGGACACAGCCCCAGAGAGAGGAAATTAGCTCGCTCAAGGTTACATGAAATTTGTAGCAAAGCTCAGACAAAGACTTGGACTCCTTGCCCCCCAAACCAGCTCCCCTTCCTCAATTTCAGTGTTTCTCACACTGTCAAGGACCGTGAATGTGCCAATGTGAGGTGTGTGAGCTTATGAATTATGGGCCAACTGGATGACACACATTGGATACAAACTCTTCTAACCCAGAGAGCCAATTTAGTCAGAATTGCCCAGAGAAAGGTTTTCCAGGGAACTCGAGACTTTTACAGTGATGCTGCAGGGTGAGTGTTAACCGGACAACAAAGGCTAGTGAAGGGAGGAGGCGCAATTTGGGCTGATGGTACAGCCTGGAGAAGGAGCCAGCAGCCCTGAAGGAACTAAAAGAGAAGGCCAGTCAGGAGTAGGCAGAGAGGCAGCCAGGGCGGAGGAAAAGGAAGAGAAAAAAGAGAAAAGAGATGTTTCAAAAATAAAATCAAAGAACTTCTTCAATTTAGTTCACAGTTTAGTGCTGCTTTTATTTATAATTTCATATGACAGAAGCAGCATTATCCTTTCAATGCTTAGAGTTTCTGAAGTTTTAGTCCAGCCCCAATGGCACAGAATGAAGTTGGAGATTCCGGCAGAAGCCAGACCCTGCCGGGTGTTGCAGCCCCAGGGGAGACTGACTTTGAGGTGCAGGGGCGACTATTGAACGGTCTAAGCAGAGGAGTGACATGATCTGATTTACATTTTGGAAATGTCGCTTTGGCTGCTGTGTTGAGAGCAGATTCAAGGACTGAAGGGGTAGTGAAAACAGTAACAATAAACTGACTTTTCTTCATTGAGCTGGAGGACAATTAGAACAAAAGAATATGGCTGAGTTCCTGGGAATAAGGGGCGCAAAGCATGCGGGATTCACTTCCTTGTTCACTTGCACAGGCCGGCGTGGTTTCACAGGGTTCCTGAGAAAGAGCACCCTGGATGTACAGCGGTGTGACTGAAAGGGCGCCAAGTCATGGGGCAGGAAACATAAGATTTTTCTGGGCCTGCAGCTTATTAGCTGATGATTTTAGGCAAATTGATTTCCTTCCCTGAGCCTACAGGTTTCCCTGAGGGCTAGAGAGAACTAACTTATACTAAAGATTTTACGCACGTGACTATGGTCAATCCCCACAGGACCCTTTAAAGTAGGTATTCTTGCCCCAGTTTTACAGCAGCCGATAAAGAGCCTCTGAAAATGGAAATGAGCTACCCAAAGTCACATGCTTCTTAGTGTCAGATTGTGAACCCAGGTCTCTTTTCTCCTGGGCCACAACTCTGTCTGCCCGACCATACTTCCTGCATTAATGAGAATACACTATTTAGAAACCTTAATTTTACCAAAAGGATGAGAATCTTACTCCCATCAACAGCGAAGTGTAGGTACAAAAAAAATCCAAAGGATAAAACTCTCTTCCCAGTTCTTCTTTCTCTTTCTAGATAATTTCATCCAAAATTAGTTGGGGCTGAGAACAAGGTCAGGGTGAGCACGGGGTGGGGCGCGGTGTGGCAGCCCAGAGCAGGGAGTTGGAACCAGAGCAAGGTGAGAAGGGTGTCC